GTAAATGTTTTCTTTATTCTCTTCCACTCATGGAAGATAAATGGGCTGAGATCAGGTCCCACTCCTACCCCAGGGAGTATGTGACCTGAACGAGCGTGTAAATAAAAAGCTGGCAAGATAACTCACAGCCGTTCAGGGAAATGTTCACCGCTATGCTCAAAACAGACGCTTGGGCTCATTAACAAGATGCCTGGGCCAGGAATAGCAGAGGGGAAACCCAGGGCTGAGCAAAGCCTAGGTCTACCAGAGCCTGCCGCACACCCAGAACCACGTCTCGGAGCGATTCCCCTCCGGGGTGAAGTCCAGCCGTGTTACTGCAGTGGGGACACAGAGCGGGGAGAAGACCACCCACAGAAATTCCACCTGCTGCAGAACAGCAAAGAAGAGAGACTCTTCTGAATTATTTTGAACATTCGGGGGCCAGAAAACCTGCCACAGGAAACCATTTCCCCTTACCTGCTGGGGAGAGAATTACAGCAAAGGCTGATGCCAAGTATTTGTCTGCGCTTAGTAAGTGCGTGGAGAGAAACGACCCGTGCTCTCACACACCAGCTCACCCCTCCTTTGGGCAACAGTGCTAGCAAAGGCTCTGCCCAGCGGGGCTGGGGCAGCTCAGGAGAAAATAAAACCACCTGCTAATGGAGCAGCTGATGCTGCAGCCAACATCAATGATATGGAGCAAAATAGCAGGAGAGCATGAAGGACAGCGTTAAAAACCACAAGAACAAGAGCTGTTGGGCTAGGGGTGAACCAACGGCAACTGGAAGTGTTTACAGCAAAGTAAAGCTGTTATCTCCACACAGATTCAGGAGGGCTCGGGATGACCTCGAAACGATGAACGCTCTTCTGTGCAAATTACAGCAAGGTGCAGGACGTCGCTGCGGGCTGTGCCGCAAGCACGGACCCTCGCTAGGAGAGCAGTGGAGCTGCTGCTCGAATGAAGCTGCTGCTTTTGTAGCACCAAGGCTGATCTTGAGAGGAATGGCAAAAGCCCACTTAAACACAGAGGCCAAGGTCAAGACTCTGGCAGTTTGGGTAACAGCCTCAGTTATGAAATAGCCTCTATATGAATAGAGGATATGAATGGATAACAGCCCCTACATGAAACTCAGTATTAGGTTAGACAGTTAATGTTCCCCATTGTTGTTATACTTGACTGGGAAGAAAAGATAGAAGGAATTAATTCTTTAACAGATTATGCCATTAGCTGGTGGGACTGGCTGCTATGTTGGCACAGAGGCTGACCTTTTGTAGTGCTGCTTTATTAGACATTAGAAGCAGTGGCTCTAAATCAGGCTCCTTGGCTTTGACCGATTCCTGGACATATATTTGGGTATTGCCAATAACCCTGGAATGGAAACAATTTCTGTCTGGAAAAATCATAAGCTACCTCCAAGAAAGCCATTGCTTCTCCCTTGAGAGGAGAGAGAAGGGGAAAATAAAACAGCAGAAATTTAGTGTGAAATGTGAATTAAAATCAGTAGGAACCATTTAGCCACATCAACTAAATTTAGGATGCTCCAATCCAGCTCGGTGAGCTCTGTCTGTCAAGTGCTCAGAGAGAAGCTGGGATGCCGAGATAAGGGGGCCACGTACGGTGTGATTCTGAGACCGATGGGATAGACCTTCCCCATTCATTCACTTGCTTTTCTTACAGCTGAAGCAGGGAGGAGAAGAGCTCCAGGGACCACCGTGATTTCTTTCAGCTCTTTAAACACAGCCCTGGTGCTCCCAAGAGCCCTCCCCTGCCACTGCCGCAAGCTGCACGCTCAGCAGACTTTTCCTGCCTGACCTCTGAAGAAACCAAGCCGTTTCTCACCTACCGTTGATTCAGCAACCAGCTCTCCAGCTGAACCACCACAGGCTGGGTGTGCTGGCAAGGAGACATGCTCCCGAAGGGATCCGCCGCAGGTGGCAGTGGTGGCTCCACCGTGGGTGACAGCCAGCAGATGGGTTTCCCGCACACAGGAGCAACCCTGGAAAGCCTTTCCTCTCCCATCGCCAAACATGCCTCTCCCTTAAGGGGAGAAATTGCTACAACCTGGTTATCACAATACAAGATGTCTTTTTTTTTATTCCAATTTGAAAAAAAGTGCTAAAAATAGCTGGAGGAATAAAGTGGGAGCATTTTGCAGCTGACTTGCAAATAGCAACTGTCATAACGAGAAGTGCCCTGGGGACCAGGGCTGCGGCAGGACCATCTCGTGACAGCCGCACGCAGAGAAGATTAACAGGTGACACTTGTCAAGCCTTCTGTCTAAAGGGCACAAATCCTCCACTGAGCGAGGGCAGCGCAGCCTTTTGTACAGGAAAGAGAAATTAATTCTCTCTTCTCCGGCCTTCTGCTTTCACGAATCACGATTCATGAGCTCTGCTTTGTCACAGCTGAATAAGAATGATTTTAA